CCTCCGTCTCCTGGGTTCAAGCCATTCTCCCGTCTCAGCCTCCCGTGTAGCTGGGATTACAGGCACCTACCACAATGCCCAGCTAATTTTTATATTTTTTTTAATTAGCCCTGCCTAAGCAGGACATAAAAAATTTGGTTATAAACTCATAATTGTTCCTCTCCACAGAAATCTTTAGTAAAAGGTGAAAGATTTATTTGTTATGAAGAGAAGCCAGAGCATAACAATTTTTTAAAATTTTATTGCGTTTTAGGCTTTGAGGTACATGTGAAGAACATGCAGGATTGTTGCATAGGTACATACATGGCAATGTGGGTTGCTGCCTTCCTCCCCATCACTTATATCTGGCATTTCTCCCCATGGTATCCCTCCCCAAGTCCCCACCCCCTGCTTTCCCTCCCCTAGGTCCCTCCCACAGACCTCAGTGTGTGATGCTCCCCTCCATGTGTCCCTGTGTTCTCATTGTTCAACACCCGCCTATGAGTGAGAACATGCGGTGTTTGATTTTCTGTTCTTGTGTCAGTTTGCTGAGAATGATGGTTTCCAGGTTCATCCATGTCCCTACAAAGGACACGAACTCATTGTTTTTTATGGCTGCGTAGTATTCCGTGATATATATGTGCCACATTTTCCCTGTCCAGTCTATCCCCAATGGGTATTTGGGTTGGTTCCAAGTCTTTGCTATTGTAAACAGTGCCACAATGAATATTCGTGTACACATGTCCTTATAATAGAACCATTTATAATCCTTTGGGTATATACCCAGTAATGGGATTGCTGGGTCAAATGGTATTTCTATTTCTAGGTCCTTGAGGAATTGCCACATTGTCTTCCACAATGGTTGAACTAATTTACACTCCCACCAACAGTGTAAAAGTGTTCCTATTTCTCCATATCCTCTCCAGCATCTGTCGTTTCCAGATTTTTTAATGATCACCATTATAACTGGCGTGAGATGGTATCTCAATGTAGTAATTTTTGTGTTTTTAATAGAGACAGCATTTCACCTTGTTGGCCAGGCTGGTCTTGAACTCCTGAGCTCGGGTGATCTGCCCACCTAGGCCTACCAAAGTTCTGGGATTACAGGTGTGAGCCACCTCACCTGGCCAACCAGCTTCCTCTTAGTGGCTGTGGTCATGGATGCATTATCTCCTCCAGGCCTCAGTTCCCCGACCTGTAAAGTGGAGGACTCAGAATCAACCTCCCAGAAGAGTTGCATAGATTAACTGAGATAGTGGGTGTAACGTGTTTAGTTTTCTATGCATGTATAAACTGCCCAAGAGGAAGTTATCTGACAGTGACATACAGCAAGTTTTAACACCCGACATTTTGTTGGCAGCAGTAAGGAAATGGGATTCACTAACCTGATTGTGTTGATGTGTGGATCTGGAAAAGGAGTCTGAGGTGCAGGTTAGGAAATGTGGCTGTCCTTCCCAGCCTATCTGCCTTGTGAGGGTGTGCCTCAGGGCAGGTTGTGAAATTGTATCTTTACTACTGAGAATTTTGTAATTTACCAAACAAATAGCGGTGAGAAGATGATGTACATTCCAGAGCGTGTGCGTGGCATGCCCTTTTTGTGCTGGATCCATCTGCAGGTCTCCACCTGCGGGGTGGAGAAACCCAAGAAATACTAATCACCACTGTCCTTTGGAGGCTTATTGGAAAGTAACTAACTCTGAAGTTAACCGACTTGGCTGATTGTATTCATTCCTGATTCTCTGGCTGATAGGATCCAGGTCCAAGTATGGCCCACCAAGTGAATTTGTCCTCTCACCTCGTCCTATTCTGTTCTTTTTTTTTTTTTTTGAGACAGAGTTTCGCTCTTGTTACCCAGGCTGGAGTGCAATGGCACGATCTCGGCTCACTGCAACCTCCGCCTCCCGGGTTCAGGCAATTCTCCTGCCTCAGCCTCCTGAGTCGCTGGGATTACAGGCACGCGCCACCATGCCCAGCTAATTTTTTGTTTTTTTTTTTTTAGTAGAGACGGGGTTTCACAATGTCGACCAGGATGGTCTCGATCTCTTGACCTCGTGATCCACCCGCCTTGGCCTCCCACAGGGCTGAGATTACAGGCTTCAGCCACCGCGCCCGGCCTTTTTTTTTTTTTTTTTGAGACAGAGTCTTGAAATGCTGCTTGGGCTGCAGTGCAGTGGAGTGATCTCAGCTCACTGCAACCT